CTGGGACCAAATTGACTGAATGCAGGATTTCAACAGCCTTTCACGCGTCAATTTTATCTACGGATCACTTGTGCCGCTTTGCAGGAATACTTTTAAAAGTTTGCGTTTGAATTTCATTATTTTTGCTTTCTAATTAAGAATTATTATTAACACAGGAATCGAAGTGGAAGGGCTTAAGATGCAAAGGACAAAATGCACTGCTATAATTCAAAATGTGCTCGGACCTTTTTTTGTAGGATTGTTAAAAGAACACATTGGTGATAGCCCTTACAGCATTTTAATTGACGAATCCACTGACATTTTCATAACTAAATATTTAGTTTGCTCTATTACATATTTTAGTGAAAGAGATTGTAAACCAATTATGTACTACCTTTTTAGGATTGATAGAATAAGAGGAATGCGACGCTAATGATATTGTACATAGATTATTAGTATTATTACGTAAATTTAATTTAGATGTAGGAAAACTGCAAGGAATTGGCACGGTCAATGCCTCAGTAATGGTTGGTGTAAATAATGGGGTATCCACCTAACTGAAGGAATATAATCCAAATTTAATACATATACGTTGCGTATGCCATCTTCTGCAATTAGCTGCCTCAGCGGCTACTAAAGAATTACCTGGTAATTTCGAATATTTAATTAGGGAAACATACACGGAGAAAAATGGATTGTTAAAATCATATAGTAAAAATTATATTGTAATCAGTACGAGAAGCTATTATTAAATCAAACAAACCTTGACACACGCTGTACAATATGAATATGTCTAATCAAAATTATTCTCACTATAATAATGATATTGTATTAAATATGATCTTAGATATTTAAATATATCCAAGAGCAAATAGATAATAAACATTAAAATATAGTTTATTAACGAAATGGGTTTATTATTTGTGTATAATACAGTTTAGTATATAACGCATTCTTAAATGAAAACCTTGCGGTTGAAAGATTGTTAGTTTAACAACCCATAAAATAAATTTTTAGCATATTATATAATTGTAATGATGCTGAATCTGCAAGATAAGCATAAGCTTATTTTGAGAACAACCGTTGCAAAGGTGGCATTGTAGTTATTAAGGTATCAAGGGTGTTATGAACTAAATAACGCCCCAGGTCAACAGTGTAGAACCCGAGGGCCTCTGGCCCGAGGGTTATACGTTGACCGTGGGCGTTGTGTTCATAACGCCCGTGGTGCCTTCAACGTTTTATGTCATACTTGATGATTTTCCAAGAATTAGCGGTGACAGATGATTAAAAGAGAAGATAATGAGGATCATCAAAATTAAGTTATCCATGGTCGTAACTATGGAGATAGATATTATATTTGTCAAAGTCAAACATTCTAAAAACTTTCCTAAAAATGGCAGACGAAGCGTCTCATTTACCGGCACACGTTCTTGCGCGAGCCGCAAAACCGAATGAAGCCATAGTGCCATAAAAATAGAAATCCTCTTATAAAAAAGAGTACGTTACTTTTGAAAAATGGATGGTGAGTAGGTAATTCTGTGGAGACAATAAACGAAACCGTTATGTTGGGTTACTTCCAAGAGTTGGTATGTTTATGTAATTTTATTAGTTGTTAATCGAAAAGGTGATTTACAGTCAGAGTCATTTTCCCCCAATTCGCTTTGGACGACATTTTCAATGCTACGTAAAGAGTTAATGGTAAAGAAGAAATTATAAGAGTTTCGAAAAATTTGTGCAGCTACAAGGGTTTTTAAAACAACTTCAGAAAAGCTATCGTCCAAAAAAATCAAAAATCCTTACTCGCGAACAGATAGCCGCCTTTCTTACAGAAGCACCTGATCCGCAGTATCTGATGTACAAAGGGGAAAGAAAATGTATGGGTATGGGCCAAGCTGGTGCGGTGTTCTCTGGACAGTCCCAGAATTGTTCTTTTTACTTCAAAGAATAGCAGTAGGATAATGCGACATCAACACAGTTCTTTTTACTTAGTTGTTGAAAATAAAAAGTTCGTATAGATTCATTATTCCATACTTATAGGATTTACATAACGCCCAAGGGCGAGAAATAACGCCCGTTGCTACGCATAATTGGGGTTGTCATGGTGGAGTGCATTATTTGTCATTTAATGTATCTTGATTTAGGATTATTATACCTGAATAATGATCAAGTATGACATAAAATTATTAAAAGCTCTGTATTGTATATTGGATGCGGTTTTTGTTCAGTCGACAGTCAGTTCAGTGCGTACCTATGTGTATGTGGCTCGCAAAATTGTTCTTATAGAATGTGGCCTGTAGAATCCATAATTTCAAACAGTTCCAAGATTGGGCTACTAGTTCAAAAGTTACAGCCCATTGAATTTTGGGTGGGTGTGTATATTAGTTGCAATAATCTAAGTTACTTATTAATACAAAGCGGAGATGTTAATTCAACTACTCCCGTATTACAAAAGCATGCATATGAGATGGTTGCCGTTACACACAGTTTTTTTGTATGAGTTAAAACAATATACAGGGTGGTGACTTGCGTAACGCATCATAGGGATTTCAATGTAAAATTCAAAACATGCGATTATTGGCTCCCCAAATTATTTTAGAGTAAAAATGTATTAAGGTTTTTTGTAGGAAAGAATTTTTTACGTCAATCAACCCTATTAGTTTTCAATTTTTTGCATAATAAAGACGGAAAATTGGAAAATAAAACCCCCATCTTCTTCAATAATCTGCGATGCCATGGAATTTTCCAAAACAAAAAGATATCCAGTTATCAATTAGCAGCAGTTCGAAATGGCTTTTATGATCGACTTGATTACTGTATTGCAGTTAATGGTGACTTATTCGAACGTTTATTGTAAATTGTTATATTAGGAAACCGTTTTTAGTAATTTGGTCTTTCTTTCTGTTGAATTCGCTGTTCTAAATATAATACTTTTTGATAGAATTTGATTTGTTTTATAGCGGACATTCCATGGCATGACGGATATTGGCGTAGTTTTTGTATTATAAAATTCCATGGCATCACAGATTATTGAAAAAGATGGGGGTTTTATTTTCCAATTTTCCGTCTTTATTATGCAAAAAATTGAAAACTAATAGGGTTGATTGACGTAAAAAATTTTTTCCTACAAAAAACCTTAATACATTTTTGCTCTAAAATAATTTGGGGAGCCAATAATCGCATGTTATGAATTTTACATTGAAATCCCTATGATGCGTTACGCAAGTCACCACCCTGTATAGTAAAACTAGCTATACACTTGCAACAATATGTATATGATAAATTTTATAATTCTTCATAGCTATCCCTTTACGTATTATATTTTTTGATAGCTATTATTATATTTTTAAGTACTAGTTTAACATACATTTTTCTCCGTGTACGATTGGTTTTTTAAATCATCTATTGGGAGACAACTTCAATATAAGTATGTCTATAATGATGGAGAAAATCCCCATAAAATTGCACGTGCTTGTGCAACGCGATGGCTATCAATTTCTTCAGCTGTTGACAAAATTTATTCTCAATGGCTGATGGAATTAAAAACTCATTTTGGAATAGCAGCCAAAAATTCAAAAGATAAATGTTATACATCCCAATTATTATCTGAAATGTACAACGATCAATGCAATTACGCTTAGCTTTGTTTTCTAAACCGGTATTAGCAGAAGTCAATCGAGTAAATAAATCATTCGAATTCAATAATGCAGACCCGACAAAACTGTTAGATAATCTTTTAAATTTATTAAATAGCTTGATAGCGAAAGTAACCACACCAAATTCAAAATTTGACATGATGTTTGCTCATAAAATCGACGACTATGTAGATATTATTTAGGTTATTTGTTTGAAAACCAAATTAAAATTATGAAAGAAAATGGTTTTAAAGACGAGTCCACTTTACGAAAAAGATGCGTTGATTTTTCGTTAATATTAATTTAAAGAACGTATAAATCGACTGCCCGACAATATTAAAACCTTGCAAAAAATGTCAATGTTTTCCGTGTCGAATGTTCTAAAACATAATAAACCAGATACTTAATAGCGAATTTTTAAAATGTATCTACAAAACAATTACGGACGAAGAAATCTCCGTCATTCAAAATCACTGGCGCATAATTAAATGGGAAAATGTGGAGAACACATTTAGTTTTTGGTCAGAAGTTAAAAATTATAAAGATGCAGGCAATACTCCCGTGTTTAAAGAATTAGCAACCGTGGCAATTTCTATATTAACATTACCGCATTCTAATGCTGATATTGAACGCCTCTTTAGCCAAATGAACAACTTAGAAAGGATGGAGTTAGTATAATTTTATAATCGAGGATTATCCTAATTTAATTAAAAATATCAGAGGAGACGAAAAATATTCTGATATAGGGTAATTGCAACTACAGTGGAGGATGAGAATACAGAACACCAACACGATGTAGACGTAGAAACGGTAATTTACGTAATAAGAATTTTATGCATATACCTATTATTGATTTAAGATTATGTTGTTTTGTTTTGTTCGTTTTACCTACATTAGGTCTACCTACCAAGGTTAAAGACCCTTTGACGGTTTCTAGCTGTTTGTTTTGAAATCTCGGCTTAGCGGGAGTGTGTTAGCAGAAGCTGGTAACACAGTCGTATATGACGGAGTCCGGAGGTGTTAGTAGATAAATGTACTAAAAAACTACACTAAAAAACCATACGAATACAAAGAAACGGACAAAATGCAAAGAAATGGTGTTCGCAAAAGACAAGGAGAAGGCGAGAAGAACCTGAAGGATAATGGAACGAACCCTACAAACAAAACATCTGAACCAGAAGGTAGATTTGTATGCTTGCTAGTGGAATCAAAGAATAAGATAAAGTGAGACCCTGTGCAATTAGTGCAAGGAGGGTTTAATTTTAGAAATCGAACGCCTTTTTATGTTTTTTTGTTAGTTTTTCGGAAATTAATATTTAGGGGATGCGTATTTTACCTAGAATACGTCATTTCGGATACGTTATGTGCACATACCAATACTAACCGCCATTTCTTCCTACTGGTAATTTATTTAAAAAAATTCCGTCCTTTTGGAGAAGCAAAAAGACAAGTAAAACGGAATTATTTTGAAAAGTTCTCATAAAACTATACAAAAATGAATAAATAACCTTCATTAAATTTAACTACATCATAGTATCAAAACTATTCTTCTTTCTTCTTTGAATTTTCCTAAGAATAAAGAAGGTGAGGCACGCGGCTATTACTAAAACTCCCACTCCACATGTGATCTCCACGTAATGGCGTACAAAAAAGTTTCCTAAAATATAAAAATTTCAATGCAAGTCATTTTTTAGTTTGCACAAACCTGCGGTTAAAAGTTTACCGCAATTTTCAGAAACGAAAACCGAAATGTAACTAATTTCTAATTGGATCTCATCCGTCACGTTTAGCGTTCTTTTACTGATATCTTCGAAGGTGGTTCCCAAGTTTACGCTGATGGACAGATCGGTGTGAAGGACCACAGCTGAAATTAAAACCGATAAGGTTTGGAGTTTGGGAGTCCGAGATTACCTTGTCGGTTTGTGGAATTGCGTACGTCAACACTGACCAACTCAACGCCGCACGATTTTTCGTAACAATGGATAAGAAATTCGGTTGTGACATTGTAGGCTTTATCGTTATCGGTTGCGTGGAACGCAATGCTTCCGTTATTCATTGCGTAACTCTCTGTACTTCCATGGGAGTGCGAAAGTTGAAGAGGTGTGCCCTAAGATTCGTGGTTAATTAATGTCGACCGAAACATCGAACTTACGTTCAAGACGGGTTGCATGGAGATGTTGAGCGAGATGCATACGTCTCCTTGGCCGTTGGTCAGCGCACCTAAAAATAAGGACCCGTCTCCGATGGGTCCCAAGTACGGTTTGGTGACAGGCATTGGATACGGTTCGCTCGTTACATTCGCCCGTTCGGAGAGCCACGCTTGCAAAATTCCTGATAGATTTGTGCTTGACGGTGAAGAAGTTTCGTTAGTTGGAATGTTAAAGGTGTCGTTGAAGATGTCATGATTCAGCTTATTAAATACATCTTCAGCTGTCGCAGTATGTGAATTGTTGAATATGTCGTCTGCTGTCTCGTTGTTTGAGGTATTGAATAAACTCTCGTCTATGCCATCAAATGGACCGTCTGTATTATCACTATTGTCGAAAACGCCTTCAGCGGTTTCATTATCCGAGCCATTGAATGTGCCATCTACTGTATCATTGAAATTTTCACCTGGTAGTTCAGAATCAGTCGTAAATTCGTCGTTTCCGTTATCGAGCCAGTCTATGTGTTCACCTTCCTCTTCTGTTGTGGTGGTACCATCAGTTGATTTATGAAGCTCATCGTCATTGTTGAGTTCTGCTTTTTCATCGTTTTGATACACTTCGGGTGTATTTTGTTCAGTTGTTTCGTTCTTGCCGAAAGGATTATCGTTTGGGTATTCCACGCTATCCTGGGATGTATTCGCGAGCGATAAGTTGCCGTCCAGGCCACTCCGTTGTGTCTGTCCATCATTTGTAGATGTTATTCCCTCAGTAAAGTTGGAAAAGCCCGATGAAACGGTTGAGTCGATTTGAGATGCGACCGTTTCTGTTGTGATGTCCACATTGGGATCGGCTAACACTGCAAAAAGACAAATATTAATTTATATTTTTTTTTCTTAATAATAAAAGTGTAGGTAAACAAATATAGGAAACGCCTGCATAAATAATAAAGTTGGCAGTGCGCATGCAACCAAAATTTTGAAACTGGCGTTACATTTCCTTTAATTCCAAATGCATATGTATCAAATTTCATTCAAATACCTTTATAAATAAAAAAGTTTACAATTCAGTCTATATAAATGGTCGCGAAAAGTGCACTCTGAATGTTGAATCGATTAGACTCATCTTTTGGAATTGCGTATTATAATGGTTAGAGCTATGCCCATATTGTATTTCATGCAATTCGGTTAATAACAAATAGAGATGTCAATTTAGTAGGTAGGTACATCAGAATCGAGGTAGGGACAGGGACAATATACATTAAAATTAATAATCAAATTAACAAATTAAGGAATGAACACTAGAATTTATTTAGCTGGATTACTTTACTGACTTCAACATTATGTGTTGGTGATCAGAGAATGTTTTGATCATTACATTTTCGAAATGGCATCATTAAATTTTTTATTTCATTGCGGAATTTGCTGCCTACTGGAAAAAAAAGTTCTTCGGGTTTCATTGATCGCGATTATTCTTTTATTGGATTTAATTAATTAAATCAAATTAAAAAATAAAAGAACTTGGTAGTTTAGTACCTAAAAATAAATAAAATTTGCGATACATCTGCAATTAAAAAACAATTCGATTACTTTTTTATATCGAAGTTGGACCATAAATACGGATTTAGAGGAGTGAGAACCATTTTTACTGCCGTACTAAACTCCTTAGCAGATTACAACATAAATAATTTCCTTGCAAATTTCAGAGAAATGTTTAATTACAATTGAGTATTCCCTACTGTCTAAATTACTTTTTAAACTAAAAAACTGTTTTTATTTTCCGCTCGTTTAATACCACCTACTAATCTAATCCGTTCCATTAGGAAATGCGATTGGGGTCTTTGATCGCACTCATTAAAAATTTTGTGACGATTACGTACAACCAAAATATTTTATTACCATATACTCATTGCATCAGATTATCTTGCCACCTACAAACCGACCACATTTAATGGAATTAGCATGCGATTTGGATCAAACTTTGATAAAACTGTACAAAAAAATTACTACGATCATTATAATTAACATTGTTAAATTTCTACGTGTGACAAATTTTAAATTCGCTAACTGCATGAAGGCTAAGCTAAACTTGTACTTACTGACAAAATCAATCACATTTAGAACTAGAACTATACACTTTATCATGATATTGTGATGTTGTCTTGAGACCTAAGTATCTTAACTGAAATTTAAATAGTTTAAAATCCGAATTATCGCACCATTGTTTGTATAGTTCTATTACCAAAAAGTTACAATTATACATCTTTCACAATTTGAAGATTTGCAATACAAGATTTTACTTGCTTAATTAGGTAGTCGTACTTGCATTCTTCATTTTTAATGAGTAAACACAGGATGTTTCACTTAATTTACATAATACCCTGTGATCATGTTGTATTCAAAGAAAAAATATTTTGCTGTTCCCATTGGCGTCAATTTAGCAAACGTAAATTGAAGATCGACATACAATCGAAATGATAACATCAAAGGGATCCAAGAATTGATTTGAAAGTGTAATAAAGTTAACTATAACAATACAAAACTTGGTTGGTTGGTTGGCCGGCGTCTGCAATTTCAATTTTCTCCCTAATTCACAATGGATGGATATGATCACTATAAATGTGGTTCTAGAAAGATTCGCCACGGAAAATTCGGAATATTCATCCCATGGAAAATTCGCCCTGAAAAGTTCCGGCCCTAAGAATTCGCTGCCACCGGAAATTTCTTAGCGCAAAGATTTGCCATCGAAATATTTGCCCTTAGAAAATTCGCACCCACCTTGGCCTATGGCTAAGATCAAAGTGTAGTAAAGTGTAGACCGGAATAGGGAGTATTCCGGTCTACACTTACTACACTTTACTACATTATCTCCAGGAATTCGCCCAAATGAAAATTCACGATCAGGAAAGTTGGAACCCAAAGGATTGCATTGACACTGTGCTCTGCGTATTGCGTAGTAGGCGTAAATTCACCTCAAGTTAAATCCGGTCATGGAGAATGCACCCCTATACATCCGGCCACAAAACAATTGAGGATTTCAATTGTTAATTAAAAAGAAATGTTGTACATACAGATGGGGCTAATTGTTTGGCTTATTGTATGACTAAAAGTTCACATAAACATACGTCCGTAAACGCTTAGTTACCGATCTACAGGGTGTTATAATTTTACACTTTTAAAGTTTTTTTTATATCTTCCGGTTTTTGAGATATTTATGTCAAATTTGGAAGATAAATTACGTTAAAGGGCTTACATCATTGGTCATTGTTAATGGTACTAAGAATCTGCAGAGTGATTTCAGAGGTTATATTCCATTTTCAAAACCCCTAAACTTTTTTGGTCTGCCGCTGGTAAACGGTCAGATAAAAAATCAATTTTGTTAATTCAGTTTAATATGACCCTGTTGGCCCTGGTTTTATTGGATAATCTCTTGTTTTTATTATTTTTGGCAGTTCTCATGATGGGACTGTATCTTGTGTTTGCACATTATGTTAAAATTAAACGTTTAAATTTAAAGTGTAGGGTGAAATTATAACACCCTGTAGACCAGTAACGAAGCGTTTGATGGACCTACGTTTATATGGCCTTTTAGACATAAAATAAGCCAAAGAATTATCCTCTTCCGTATGGACATCATATTTAGGATCACCCTATATACTAAGAATGATATTTTCAGTAAAATACTTTGTGTTATTCGCGAAAATTCGTTTAAGAACGTCGTTTTTTGGTTGAAAAATTGACAATTTCACTCCTCAACAGTTTGAAAGGTATTGACTTCCAGAAAAAAACCTTTATAGTTCATCTATTCATCCCCATTTCAACGAAACATTTTGGACCCACGAGAAACGCCGGCATCCACCCACACGGTAAAAGCTCGGCACAGGGTGAACCTTGAAGAAAAGTGTCAGTAGAATCTTAGTGTAAAGAATTTTTTTAATTAACTTATATTGATCTGTCATGGTATATTAAATAATGGTCTCGGCGAAAGGAACTGTTTTGTACCACCAACCACAGCCCTGCTCCTCGACCTTTTATCGTGATTGGTAATAATTCCTCATATCTCTAGAGCGGAGTGTCGCAAATTGTTATGCTATTATCTTTCTACGAACGTGAGTACGCTGAAAATTGTTCCATTTATTATCGAAGGGCCTAGGGGGGGAATGGCGGATTAAGACATTTGGGGGTCTGAACCACCAGCGGAATTTATCTATTTCATTATACATATAAGCCGGTCAACAAGGGTCAATCAATAAAAAGTTATGTACATGAAAATGTGTTGAGGAGGAGTTTTCTGCAGTGCAGTCACTCTTATCAAAAATAGTCAAAACACTACCACAAAAAAAACTAAATAAAAGTGAAGTGAAGAAGTGTTATTTCATCGCTGTCTAATTATTTCATATTTCATTCCCTATATTTTGTAATTTTGTAGCAAAGGTTAACCTGTTTGTATTTAGAGATTTAACTAATAGTCAAAGAGCATTTTTCAAACAATATGATTTCTAGTGTCTTTTCGTTCTATTAGTTTGATTGTAGGAATATTCCTAGCCCTACTGAAAAATTGGGACATGGCATATTGGTCCCCAAAGAAAAAGTCCACACACTTCCAGGACAGCTCGATCCCGCAATATTGCCATATCGTGATAATTTGTTAGTTCCCCTCATTCTACTTTATCTAATTAATTTGTTGATTATTACAAAGTACCTTCAAAATATGTTGATGACAAAATAGTTGGTTAAAGTACAACGGATCTAAAATATAATTTACTTACCTTATTCGAATCTAATTTGTTTCGGTCATACCATGTTGAATACTAGCCAATTAGTTACATTATTACCACTAAAATCAATCCTTTATGTAACATTTTGCTGTTTTCGTAATATCCGTACCTACCGCACAAACTTGCGCTTTAGAATTGAAAGGTATAGTCACTATACCTGGACGCCTAATCAAATTAGTGACAAGAAAAAAGTATTCAGCATGTTCTAAATTTTTCTCTAATAATCAGTTTTCAAATCAGTCCAAATGTTTTTGGCAATTGCCCCCTTTTAAAACGTCAATCTCGTTCGTTTACCCATGAGATACAAAACGAGATAGTAAAAATGGAAACCATTTACAGCTAGTCACACTGTAACAATATTCTTTAAGAAGTTAACAATGCTACCAGATGTTGTACAAATTCAGTAATAAATCCTGTTTATGAAAGGACCTTCTTCACTTTTATGACTTTAAGCTCTTAAGAAAAGGTGGAGACTTTGGTATCGTACATCCTCAATAAAAGCCATTGAATGACATTAATTTACTTATTAAAAACGTAAATCATCAACTTTTTGTTGCAAATAGATATCACTAAAAATTAAAAACCTCAAAAATTCAAATAAGAATGTATTACTTAATTTCGTAATTGACACTCACCGCTAAACCCAAAAATACAGAAGCACTTTAATTCAAAGATTGTTTCGCCTAGGTCTACTTATACTAATTCTAAAAAAGAACTGATGCGTGTATTTTTACTCACCTCTCCCCAAAACAGATATTATAAGTAATACAAACATCTTCTTGCTCACCAGCAGCACTAAGAACCAAGTCCAGTCACGAAGATACTGACACAGACACTGCACCCTTAAGTTTAAATCGACTTGCCTGTCTGCACTAGTAATAAACTACCCAAAAATTATAGAGTCCTCCGGTTGCCAAGTATACTGTTAGATTTATTTAAAAAACTTCAACAGGAAACTTTTCATTTAACAACAATACGCTCCTGCGAAGGTTACCAATTGAAATTGCTTACGTATCCAACAAAAACGTAGTTTTGATTGCATTTTGCAATTAAAATTTGTTGATAAACATTAATTTTTAATTATGTGTTCAATAATTTAATAATCACGTTACACTACTTTTAACAATGCCTCGATATAATAAACCCCATTACATGGCAACTACGCAAACGACGATGTGTCGAACAATTAACACGATTTTATTAATATTATTAATATCCAGAAAATTGATAAGAGTTTTTAACGAGAAATAACAATCAATAATAAAATTGTGGAATGTCGGCACAGTGATACAGTTTTTTTAATGTACCTACTGCACGAGTAGGGGACCTTCTATCCACGGAACTCTGATTGAATGTGATTTGAAAACCGCATTTCCGATTAAAATTCCGTCATGACGTAGTGATCGATTTATTATTATGTGCTTCTTATCGGATGCAAGAATGTGCAAGTTATTGCCAAGATATTTTCAGTGCAGAATTCTTTAATATTATCAAAATATCGCCGCCCCCTCCCCAACGCGACATTCACATTTTATTTTCACTGTCCGCATTTATCACGGGATTGATATGTATAAGAATGCAATTACTGTAATAATCCCATTTTTAATATGTTTTCGAGACATAGGACGTGCTCCTTTACAAACCCGGTTTACTTTTTGAAGATAAGCCCCCAAAACTGGATTGTATGTGCTATTTTACGATCTTGGATCTCTATTGAACATGCTTTCATAATTTTTGCATGAAGTCGAGGTTTTTGATTTCAAAAAGACACTGCCAAAGTGCCAATCCTCCAATTTTTTTCTTTCAAATTTAGATATCCATGCTAGACTCTGTAGCTTTAACAAAAAAAAAACAGGGCATGGCTTCAGTGGACACTTGTAAACATAAAATCTTTGTTATTACGAAAATAATTACCTGCCTGGAAGAGGAGAGTGTACATAAATAAAATAACCAAGAAAGGGCGTAATAGCATCCTTTTCCTTGGGTATTTTTGTAATAAAATCAGAGCTATAATCAAAAATGTATGCGTATTTAATTTTTTAGCGCATTTTCCAAAAGGTAATGAAAGTTATTGTCAGCATTTCATCCGTCTGTACCACTATTATTCCTCCAGTTTAAGCTTTTTCGTTGTGGCTTCTTTCTTTTACGTATTCCGTTACAGTTTTACAAGGGTTTATTCGAATAACAAATTTTGAATTATTCTTTCACAATTTTTTCTCTTACGCTGTACCTATTGTATAATAAATTAATAAGCATACGTAAATTACATAATATAATGCATTGTAAGTTCACAATCACATGAAAACAGGAAGTATTTTCAGGTTAATTAATTTATTAGATGGTAACCACATGATCATATCAATTCTGAATTAATATTACCCAAGGTCGAATTCGAAATATGCGAGAATGTTTAGTTAATGAGAAAAATTTCCATTTAAAAACGGCAGCGTTTCATCGACATATAGTCATTTTGCGCAAGTGGGAAGCAACACACACGTAGTGCAGATGGTTACTTATCCTGTTTCATTTATGAAATTCATTGGGTGCCCTTTTGGCGTTCTTCCCCCACATTCAAAAACCGAAAAGATTCTTATGAAAAAGTTCATAGGCTAATCTAGAAAATTTAAGAGCTTAGGTTAAATTGTATGGGAAAGACCGTTCAATATTGGTAAGTAAATGTTCATAGGAGAAGGGTAAACTAGATCGCTTCTAAGAAGAGTTATTTTTTACTACTTCTGGTTTACCATCACCGTCGTTTCTTAGCCAATTAAATAAATCCTTTGTCAAAGAATACGCGGTTACTAACATTTTTGACACATTTAAAGGTCTAGGTGAATGGTTTGGTGTAGAAACCGACAGAGAACCCCACCAAGTAAATGAAAAATAGACACAAAAAGCCAGCAAGTAGACGAGAATGTCAATGAAAACTACAAGAATGTCGGTGATTACAAATTTGTATATGCCGTAGTGAAATCCGTCATTTCACGAAAAGTCTATGTATTTCGTGAAACGCTGACAATTTGATGTGTGTGGTAGTTTTCCATCTCCTTCCAGATCGATCTCGTAGCGAAAGGGGAACTCAAACCCTTAACTCCAGAAAGCACACTGTCCCAAAATTTCACAAAATTACTAATCTTTTCGTGAAATGACGGATTTCACTAAAAGACTACACGACATATACACTCTTCACCTAAACAATAATTAGGTCCATTAAATTGAAAGTTCTCTTTATTGAAATCGGAACAAATTAACTTTATATGTAAAATTAAATTTGGCTCAGTATCAAATCCAATAATTCGAGTGGGGGTTTTCCTTCAATACATACAATACAGAAACGGTTTCAACCTCCAACAGTCTTTTTAAGAAACTACTTGTATTTTACTAAGGGCAAGTATTGCCCTAGGTTACATACCTATGGCGTGGAGGGACGTAAAAGTCGTATTCATACCCAAACCTGGGCGAGACTCCTACGCCCAGGCTAAGTCGTTTAGACCCATCAGTCTAACGTCATTTCTCCTAAAGTTGTTAGAGAAACTTATTGATAGACACATAAGGGATGAGGTACTGGGGTCCGAACCCATTAGCAAACACCAATGTGCCTATCAACCAGGAAAATCCTGTGAACTGGCTATCCACAGAGTTGTGGATGCAGCTGAAAGAGCGATAGCTAGTAATGAGGTGGCTCTAGGGGCGTTTTTAGATATAGAGGGGGCGTTTGATAACACCAGTCTAGAATCGATCAACATGGCTATAGAAAGCAAGGGAGTACACACTACCATTAGTAGATGGATACATACCATGCTAAAACATAGGAATATTACAGCCTCGCTTAACAACGACTCGGTAGTGGTCCGGGCCGCTCGAGGATGCCCGCAGGGGGGAGTTCTTTCTCCTCTGCTGTGGTGTTTAGTGGTGGACGGACTTCTGAGGAGATTAAGTGAGACGGGATATACTACAGTTGCATATGCCGATGACATAGTGATTGTGGTACGCGGAAGATTTGAGGAGACCGTGTCAGCAGTGATGCAGGGAGTTTTGACTCTGGTGGAAAAGTGGTGTAGAGAAGAGGGCTTGTCTGTTAATCCAACAAAAACAAACCTCATTCTCTTCTCACGTAGAAAAGGGCCGACAAAGCTAAAGGATATAGCAATGTACGGCACCAAGCTACAGTTAGTGAGAGAAGGGAAATACTTGGGCGTCACGTTAGACCAAGGGCTTACCTTCAAATCACATCTGGAGAAAATAGCGAACAAAGCCACAAAGTCCCTGTGGGCCTGTAGGCGAGCGTTCGGAAGCAAGTGGGGCCTATCGCCAAAGATGACCCACTGGATATACACTAAAATGATTAAACCAGTCATTACGTATGCGTCACTGGTGTAGTGGCATAAGACCTTCACCCAGAAGAACATACAGGCACTTACCAAGGTGCAGCGCAGAGCTTGCCTTGGAATTACGGGGGCAATGAGAACGACCACTACTGCAGCTATGGAGACTCTCTCGAACTTACCGCCACTACACCTAGTAGTTAGGGCGGAGGCGCTCAGAGGGGCATACCGGCTGAGAGTCAATGGCGAGGAGAGATCGTCAAGGGTGGGACACTCGCTCATCTTTGATGAAATCTCCAGGCATAAAACCCTCGGTATGATATCCGAGAGAATAACCAAAACAGTTTGTCTCACAAAACTGTTTAAGACGGCAATCCCCACTCGATCCGACTGGGAGGACAATTCCAGTAAGATAAAACTGAATGGAATCGTATATTACACAGATGGCTCGAAAACTAAGGAGGGCACTGGCTGTGGAGTGTACGGAAGCAATGGACAGGGCTGCAGAATCTCTGTAAGCCTAGGACAAAAAGCAACCGTGCTTCAGGCTGAAGTATATGCAATCTTGACTGCAGCTTCTCGACTATTAAAAGAGAACTTTAACAGAAAGAAAATCTTTATAGTTACAGACAGCAAAGCAGCGATTGCAGCATTAAACTCATATGTAGTAGATTCAGGACTAGTCCTTGAATGCACTGAAGTGCTAAACGCACTAGGCAGACTTAATACAGTAACGCTAGTGTGGGCACCTGGGCATGCGGGAATCGCAGGTAACCAGGTCGCTGACGAACTTGCGAGAGCGGCAAGCGCGATACCACTCGTAGGACCCGAACCGGCCTGTGGGATTACATATAACACAGCCAAAAAGGAGATACAAGCGAAACTCACAAAAGAGCATTGCAGACATTGGTCGGAAATTCCGGGACAGAGTCACTCCAAGATCTTTCTGGAAACCCCAAACGAGGGGCTAGCATCATCCATCTTAAAGTTAAGTAGGATGAAGATCAAACTTGCAACAGAGATGGCCACAGGCCATTGTTGTTTGAACAAGCACCTGCACAACATGGGACTGACTGACAGCCCTCTATGCAGGGGCTGTGGTGAGGAAAGTGAAACACCACACCACGTTATCTGCCTATGTGAAGCATACACAAAAGCAAGAGAACGCCTACTTGGAAACGAGAAGATTACACAAGAAGAGGTAGTGAAGATCCACCCTACCAAAATCCTGGACTTTATCAAAGATACAGGTATTCTTGAGGGGTAGAGAATACTGGGGAGCACAATAGACCAAAAGGTCGCGGTGCAAGAACCGAATGGGACCACCCCGAGAACAAATAATAATAAAAGAAACTACAAATCAAAATTCTCCTTATTAAGTGTTTTAAGTCTCTCAAATTTATGGATTTCTCTTAAAGATATACAACCCCTTTATTTGACATGGATCAGTAAATATTACAGTACCGCGCAAGGTAACGAATGCTGAGGATACAATAACGATGTAGGAACACCCTATACGTACATCGACGATGACGTATAAGTTGTATCAAGAAACCTCTCTAACGGATACATTTTTTTCTATTAATGACCACGGATACGACTGTCCTCGAAAGGAAGTTTTCACGAAGGGTTCACTCCTCTGGTGTCCAATTCAATGGTACAAGCAAGCGACCTTCTAAAATTAGGTACTGAGTTTCGCTAGATTAATTTAGTTTCGGCAAAGGAGAAATTTGCCGCACTGCAACTGGGCCCACATTTACACTTACTAATTTTAGGGTTACGAGTTCCAACAAAGTTTAACCCTTTTTGGGGGAATATTTCGAAAGAAATTCCTCTTATGTGATGGTTCTGTCCGTACATCTGTTCCTCGCTGAGCGTCAAAAAATTCCTCTATTGAAAATCGTATGCGATTTTTCGTATCTTGTTTCTTTACAATGTCGACGTACTTTATTGAGGAATTGATTTACAAATGGTTAGTTTGCTATAACGCAGATATACTGACGCGTTTTTTTTAGTTTGTTCTTCATCACGCCTGGCTGCCTGGAATGTGTTTCTTTCTGCGTGGATAAAACTGATGCGTTAGAATTTATTTACTTCACAGATTTTAGTCTTGTAATGATAAGTAATAAAACTCCCGTTGTTATATTTTACGTTTCAAAGACCAATACCGGCCGCGACGACAATTGATCAAATCTAGTTCAAATGTTATTAAGCGTGCCGCACTAATAACAACGGAATTCCAAAACGTACCTAGATCTTTTCTAAATTTTACCAGGAATTACGTAATACTGTTGGATTTACTGTGATCAAGACGGGAATTAATTAACAACTCTAATTTTTAGAGTACACATCGATGACGCTGGCAGTCAAAACTCGAATGCATCCCAAAATCTTCCCCAAAACTAATTCGCACTATATTTTTAGTAAATACTCTCCCTTTTATTCGCGTCTTTAAGAATTAAAAAATGTTTGCATTTTGTCCGTCTGTTCGTTCGTCCGAACCCACTACTGCGGTTTTGAACTGCTCTTAGAGGATTGTCTTTGTTTAAACAATATTTAATCTCCAAATTGTTAGTAGCCAGCGCTGTCAATATTTTATTAAAAGACAAATTGTTTAAAATGGCCACATTACAAGAATAAAGGAGATTTTCGACAAGTAGCCTGTGTCCGTTACTACCCTTCCATCCGGACTACGACTACCAGTTAAGTCTTTCTTCGTTACGAGTTGTAAGATTACTTCCCGGTGGTAGTTCATCCCCTTATCCTTCTATCTGATTGTCATAAGTTGACAGTTAAGCCTACCTCTACCCAGGTCCCGGGCTACATTTAGCTCAACGCCCCCGTAACAAAGGATTATAATAGTTAAATTGCATTCTTAGTGACCGAGCGTCATAGGGTAATTTATCTGTATTGATTTTGAAACAAAATGAACCAAGATCGGCAGAGAAGAGGAATGTCCGACTGGCACAAATATACAGCTTTTTACTACAAGCGTTGAATGATAAGTACGTAACTTTTATGTGGAACAAAATTTGTCTCAGATTTTGCATACGCATTCCTTTAATGCTGCCATCTCAATTTTTGAAAATTGGGGAAAATGGGGGAGGAGGGGACGGGGTAAACAATTGTTCTACTTTTCATGGGAAAACCAGGTAAAATGGACGAGCACGAAACATATCTACTGAGTAGGTCATAGTCAAAAGAGAGTACTCATATAGAGCGATTAGAACGTTTAGTTGTAACATACATACGACCATGGACCATTTCCATAATAGCATAGTTTTTAAGTATAGGTACAATATTGATACAGAAATATTGGAACCAATATTGTCTGTTAATCGCCCTGATTACTGAGCGGCCCAGAGCTCGTTCATGATTTTAGAGGTTCTCTACTCGTCCGTCCGTCCGTACGTCTTTGTACACAAACGGTTTCGAATTCTCAAATTCTGTTTTCAGTGATAATGGTCATTGGTCAGGGACTAATTGACTAAATCTTGGTCATTTGGACTTTCTGTTCGTCCATCTCTGTTTGTCGTTCGTGGTCTATGTTAGTTTGAACAGTTTATTTTGTAAATAACTCTTTGTGCATTGTTATATGCAAAATGACTAGTGTAGCAGGTAATAATAAATTGTTTAATTTCCTCAAACATTTCCAATATGTGTCTCCATTTTGTAGGTGCTGTTATATGAAAAATGTAGAAGTAGGACTGAATGGAGTTTCAATACCCACTGCAAAATTAAATGCATTGTTAGGACATCTGTCGTAAATAATACTGCGCTGTTTGCCAATGTCCATAAATGCAGGATTCTACATTATTACCCTCGCGAGCTTGCAGTAGATGTCGTCGCATCAACTTTTCTTGTGTGAAAGAAATCTGCTGCATTCTAATTTCCTGCACTTAGTTCTTTGAATAGTTTTCAGTTCAATGGAACTACAGCCATTATTTATAAACGCTACTACAATCATTGAATTGATAGTTATAAATTCAATGCTACAATAACTACAGCTTTGAAGATAATCCTTTGAATATTCAAATGAATAAACAATTATTCAATGAAATGATATTTTATATTCAGATTTATTCAAACTTCCCCAGTCATTATTGTGCGGTGCACTGTGTGTTGCCTATAGTATGAACTATTAGCTTTGAATAATGACCTCTATATCGGTAATATCATTGAATAAGTACCTATGATTGCTTATTCAATGGTAATATGTAGTTACTATTGAAAATGGGTTTATTTATACCTATAGCCGACAAGAAAAACTATTATTGCAGTTATTAAACTTTTGAAAATGTAACGATAAACATATAATCGGCTTTAATTCCATCACAATGAGTAAATTTATTACGCCCGACCCAACAACCTTGTAGGAAATGTACTGCCTTTTTTGTTAATTTGCGTCAATTGCTAATAGAGTGTTATATAATGGGGATTAGGTTTGTTTCTATGACGTCATTCCGTCACGGATTTCCCAGCGCATGTGTATCATGTGTTGCATAAGTCGAGTCGTGAGCCGGTGAAAGTCGACATTCGGATATTATTACATTGTTAAGTAGGACAATAATGGGTGTCGCATGTCGGTATTGCCCTTTTATGTGGTTTAGGTCCTGGAACTTTTTTATCATTTCTACGAGCGGTATTTGCGTCAGCAATCGACGCTCATGCATCTATTTTTTGTAATGAGCCATTGAAGCGGCGTAGGATAACTGAATGTGGCAACTTTTAGCGGGATTTTATTGAAATTTATTTTCATTCATATACACAAAATAGCGCCACGTATCGGATTGTTGGCGAACTAGGGCAAAGACGTAGATCGTGGGAGTTGGACGTGTGTCGATCATCATGAAGTAAATAATTTAAATATGGAATAACAAATCGTGCTATTAGTAATTGTGTTGTAAAATGATAAGTGTGTAAATGTGTGTAATTGACGGCAATGTGTGTAAACGTTACAAGAACTAAAAGTGTATTACTACAACAATATAAATATATACAATATTCAAGATGGCTGGAATTTGAAGGACCTCTTTGTCCCTAATGTCAAT